GGAAAAAAAGTAGATGGATAATTAAGTTAAGAAAAGCTGGCTAGAAACTAAGCCAAGCTAAGTCTGGGCATTCAGAAGTAATAATAAGACTCCATGTGTGAATTTATTTGGGAATTGGGTGGCAAGCACCCTCCCCCCCCAAAAGAGCCCAAACAATATAACAACACATATTTGTTTTAATTAGTTCAATTAGTTCAATTGCTAGCAATTTAACTCAGGGCCTTGTGCACGCTCATTATGCACTCTGACAGCAGGCTGCAACCTAGCCCCTGAATTTGTATAATTTATAAACACTCTACTGTGGTGTTACTGCATAGCTTTCTAATCTCACAGAATGGGAGTGAACTACTGGTTACTAGTAATAGTGGGTATAACAGTGGACTTGATGTTGCTCTTACTTTTTAAGATTTATTTTTTTTATTTTATGTATATGAGTGTTTTGCCTACATGTGTGTGTAAACCACATCAAGTCTGTGGAGACCAGAAGAGGTCGGATTCTGTGGAACCGGAGTAACAGAGCATGATGTGAGCTAATATGTAGCTGCTGGGATCAGATCTCAGGTCGTCTGCAAGAGCAACTGGAGTTTTTACTGCTGAATCATCTCCCCAGTCTCTCAATAACTTCTCTTTTTACTGATGACATATATAGAATATAATTTATAAATATTTCAAATATGTGAAAGCCATTGGTGGAAAATGAAGATAGTCTTTTAATTTTTTCTATGATTAACAGTCTCCCAAAGTTAATAAATATTTTGACTTTAACATCTCTGAATATATGAAATTAATGGTCCAAAATGAAATATGAATAAGCACAATCATGAGAATCATGTTTTTTCTACACTCAAGTGCTTTTTATGTAAATTAGTGAAACTTGAAAAAAAGTTGTCTAATAATATTCAGAATGTCTAGTCATTTACTCAAAATAGCTGGGTCATGCAATTTTCTTCATGAAACACTTCCCCCTTAGCCCATAATGGTGGAGTTCCTTCAATGAGTTTCTCTTTTGAGTAGAAGTTGATGTTTTGTTAACATATTTTGTGCAATGTATGTTCACATTTATTTTATTAAATCCTTAAAAGCCTGTCTTTACATCTTCAGAGAAATCTACAAGTGATTGCTTTCAGTACTTTTAAAATTTAATAGCTCACCTAGGGACACGCTCCTAGAAAACTGTGATTAAAATATTGTAAAAACTTTTCCACATGGTATGAGTCCTAATCTTATTATCTCAGTCATCACCATTTCCATCGGCTTCCTGTACACATGTTATTTTCCTGTTTTAGATGAGGAATATGAATCCCAGAGGTGAGATATTTGCACAGTAAAAAAAGAGGCACAGGATTTGAATCCAAATTGAGATCTATTCAAACTTTAGATTCCGTTCCATATCATCACATCTCATGATTAAAGGGGTGAACCAAAGAGCACTATAAGAGAGAGGGCATGAAGTGCAGCTGAGATTCCTACATATCTCACAGGAACCTAGAAGTCCAGTTCTTGTGTACAGCCTGTGAGGACGGTATTCTTACAACCCTGTGATCTCAGTTTGCAGACAAGATTCAGTAGCTAAGTTTAGTATAATCTAGATGCATTCAATGAAAATTGATGAAGGCTGTAGCAATTTTACAGCTGAAAAAATAAAGACATGGGTATTTGAAAGGAAAGAAGACCAAGTAGACATCTAGACTTGCTTCTGCCACTGTTCTTCAGTGTAGGGCTTTCTACCAAGAATATTGGCTATAATTTAATTCTTTATTAGAGTTAGTTACACAGCTTCAGCTGAATACAGAAATAAAGGAGAATAGTCTACTATGAACTCCTCTGAGACTGACTTACTGCTTATGAAAATTATTGTATTTTCTAACCTACTTATAAAAATGATCACATAGTCTTGTCAAGTTTGCCTTCCAGATAAATCTATACTCTTTCCTATTATGTTTTTATCTCCAACAATGGAGATAAAGATCTCAAAGCTATTCTCCATTCTTCTGCTGATATTAGCAATACCAAAATACTTGCAATATATGAAAATATATGGATGCTTTATATCACAGTGCTAAGCCAGTATCTTTAATCCTGAAATATTCTAGCTTTGCTTGCTCTTTTCATAAAATATGACTGATTTTTTTCATTACCTATTTCTTTAATCGGTGATTTACTGTACGAATCTATCCTATACCTTTTCATGGGGTTATAATCTCTCTTTTCTATAATGGCAATAATTAACTTTTAGTGTGTTTTATTATTATATGGTCTCCTTTATAATTGTGGAGTTTTGTTACAGGTCAATTACTTCTGTCTTCTTGAATTTATTATGTGAACAGATACTCAAAATTTCTGTTTAATAAATAAACCTACTATCATATGTATTACCTTTTATGTGTACTTGAAATACAAAGAGTATTTGGACTTAGCAACTTAGTTGGTAATAAAACAAAACATTGAAATGTCCTGAGACATTTGTATTAGAAACAGTGAATGGTAAATACTAAGAAAGACAGTGGGTGCATGTTTTGATAATACTTTGGAGTCATTTGAAACATTTTAACCATTACTTGAAAAGGAACCATAATTTTATTTATGTTTTATTTAGATTAATTAGATGTGTAAAATGTTAAAAGCTATAAAAGTTTTATATCCTAAAACAATAATTGCATTATTTAGCTAAATGATGTTTAGTTTAGAAGGAAAGCTTAGGAAAATAAACAGAGCAGTTTTGTCAAAATTATTAATTATAACTGAGTTCAGCTGTACTATTTTATATTTTTAATTTTTATTTTATTTCATATGTATAGATATTTTTCCCTGTGCATATGATTATGCATCACATGTGTGCCTGGAACCCTTGGGTGCTAGAAGAGGTCATTAGATTTCATGGAAAAGAAGTTACATTCGTGATCTGTCTTGGTGCTAGGAATTGAACCCAGGTCCCCTGCAAGAGCATTGAGTTCTCTTAGTCACTGAGCCAACAATTCAGTTACTTAGCTACAGTTTTAAGACTGTCTTTTCATTAGCTATTTTTAATGAATAGTGTTTACTAATGTTATCTTAAAGTAGCCACTGCTAATTAGATTTGTAAGGAAGGAAAACTACTGGCTTTTGAAGGAGGATTGCAATAAAATATATTTTTTTAGGGTTTCTTTCAAAACCTTTTAGAAAATGACACATTAATCAACCTGAAAAATCATATGTACTACCTTTCCAATTTTCCAGAATTATATATTGATTTTTTTCGGTGGTGACTTGGAAATGAATGGGGAAGGATCTCCACAGGAGTTAAAGTTCTCCACTCACTGTGAATTCCAAACCACACATAAGTGGTTCTTGTGTCTGTTAGTGTTATACTAACCTAGTAATAACTGCAGTAGTTAATGTCCATCTAAGAGTTGAGCTTTTATGTCCTAGCTTTTATCAATGTATTTGTAGTCCATGTAACTTATTCTCTGCCTATAAGGACTACCACTTTTCTCTCAGCACAAATCCTAATGTTGGATCAGAAACTGTAGTAACTGTAGCAGCTGTCAGTATTTTACCCCATTGCCAGTAGTCTGTTGTGTGGGTATCTTTGTGGATTTCTGTGGGCCTCTCTAGCACTTTGCTTCTTCCTATTCTCATGTGGTCTTCATTTACCATGGTCTCCTACTCCTTGTTCTCCCTCTCTGTTGTTGATCCAACTGGGATCTCCCGCTCCCCCAAGCTCTCTTTCCCTCGACCCTTGCCCTTCATTACCCCTATAGGAAAGATCACTGGTGCTATGAGCTAATTTGTGCTATTACTACTTTAATGAAGCTTCCTGTTTGCCCACTACTTACGAATTTAAACTTTTTGCTTCATGTTACAAATTTTCAAGGCATCTTTATGAAATTTAACATGTAAATTGTTTAAATACCAGTAACAATTAATACTAGACTACTTAGGGTCCAGTCTTTGTATTGATGTACTGAAAGTTAAGCCAAACACAAATGAACCTCTCCATAGCAGAAATATCATCTAGAGGCTCAGTGAAAACATTTTGGTACTAGTGTGAGGATCCGAGTTTGTATTTTCAGCCCCCAAGTCAAAGCTGGCCATGATTAGAACCCTAAAGTTGATGGGGTGGTGACACACGGATCCTCTAGCTTAGTTGGCTAGCCAGTCTAGCCAAAACAGTGAACTCCAGTTTCAGTGAGAGACTCTGCCTCAAAAATCAACATGGGTAATCACTCGGTGTGCTCTTCCCTGGGGAAGACTGTCTCTCTGCTCTGCTTTCCTTGGCTGTCTAGTTATGTTGAGGCCTCGTGGACTTTCCTCTGTCCGCTTTGGTCTGTATGAAAGAAGAAGCCATGAATTTGAAGGAGAGCAGGGAGGGGTATACGATAGGGTTTGGAGGAAGGAAAGGGAAGGGTGAAATATTGTAATTATATTGTAATTTCAAAAATAAATAAAATTAAAAATTAAGGTGGATGATTAGATAGTAACACACCTGGAAGTCAATGCCTGGTCTTTATATACACAGTCCAGTGAATCTACACATATCATTTGCTTGCAAATAAGCACCATCACACATGTGAACACAATAAAAATTAAAAATAAACACTGTTAAAAGAGATACTATCAGAGTAATTCTAGATTTCACCTTGAGACCCTTTGTATTTTAGTGATCTTTAAGTTGCACGGATGGAACATGGTCACTTCATAAATAGCTCTGGCTCATTTTCACACAAAGGCAAGTCACACCCCCTTTTGAACACAGGGCATTCCTGCATTCTCTAAGGCAGGCTTCTCAGACATTAAAAATGAAAACTTCTTATATTCCACTGGTTAGATGGTTTTCTTTCACATACATTAATTTATAAAATATACCAGTGTTGTGGTATATTTATATATTGTGGCCTACTGACATTTTCTATCTGGAAAGAGAAATGATTAGCTTACTCTTTAGATAGGGTTGGCTCTGTTTCTAACTGGGAACAGCCAGTGCGGGCTGCAACTTCCTTGTTCTCAAATACTTGACTCACCTCTTTTGGTGCATCAGCGACAATGAATTCAGAATAAATCATCTTGGCTTTGGTAGCAATCTTTTCTCTACTTTCAGTTTTCTTGAAGTCTTCACAGGCAAGCCAGAACTCAACATTCTCTTCACTGAATTCTGATTTTAGAAATGTTCGGAAAGCATCCAAACCAGCTACAAAATATTTAAGAAAACTTTGCATCATCTATAAGACATTAACATTCCCTGAATAAGTCCATTGTATCAAATGAGCATTTATTGAATGTTCAGTAGGCAAATATTTAATCATCCAGCCTAAAGTAATATTTACATATTATCAATTCCAAATTAGAAAACTTAGGTTTTAGGAGTAATCACAGGTCCAAAATATTTTCATTTATACTTTAAAAATCAACTTCATTAACAAGAAAATCTATGATTTCTATTTCTAGATATGACATGTTTCAGAGACTGTCTTGATGACTACGGGATAGGAGGCCCATGGGCCACTGAACTGCTTGGCTCAAGTTAATTATGTTATAATAACCAGGGAAAGAATATGTTTCTTTTCTATAAGCTTTGGAGACACAATTTGAAGCTGAGGGAAAAGGTTATGTTGGTTTGGGCTCAGAGGAGAAGAGTCAATGTTGACCTTAAACCGTTTGTGGTGACTACATTGGACAAATATGATCTTTAAGCCAAGAAAGTACTGGCAAGATATTTTGGGGTGAATATTTATTCTCCTCTTCTTTTTTGGTGGACAATTGTACTTCTGAAAGTCAAATAAGGGGGCTTTCCCTAATGTTGCTTTAAGCGATGTACTGAATGTGAAATCTGTCATATTCTGCCTCACAGCCAGATTTCCTTGTGAGCGTGCATTTCTCTGGTAACTTTGCAATAGGTGCTGCATCGGAGTTCATTTATTTTGTGGGCTCATTTCCTTTTACTTGACTAGGACATGTATTTATAGAAAAAATCAATAACCCCAGTTACATCTTCAACCTATAATGCCCTACTCCTTGTCCCCCTCATTATTATACATCCATTAAAATATGAGCCACAAGTCATTGCTTTGATGGATATTTGAGTCCTTGAATTGCTGCTTAGGTTTCTACTTTGCTGCGTTGAAATGTGCCTTCCAGAATTCTGTTGTGAAATATCCATAGCTAATTGTAAAAGGTGGTTCTTGCTCAATGTTTTGAGCTAACTATGGTTGAGAGTGTGCCTCTGGCTATGTGCCGTGTTCGAAAGATTATGTTCAGATCTCCTATTTTGACTAGACTGTTCTGGTATCTTAAGGTCATAGTATTCAGTTTTGGAGTTTGCATTTGGGAAGATATGCTTGTAAGTGAGGCTTTATGTCTGATAAGGAACATGTTCTTCAGGGCTTTTGTCACTCAAGAATTTGCCTTCCAAAACACTGGTGGTTTCCCCTTCATCAGTCAAGAGGGTCCCTTTTGCACATGCAGCAGGCGGAGTTACTCCCTTATGTCTCATCCTTTGGAAGAAGGAAGCTTATGGAAATACAGGGGATTGAAAGTTTGAATGGAAAAAAAAGAGAACATGAAAGCAATAGGACCTGTCAAATTTTTATAGGTTGCTGTAGAAGGGAAACAAAAGTGAAATTTAACAATAAAATAAGGCACAGCTTTTTAGAACAAAGTGTCTAAAACACTAAATAAAAGTGGCGTGATGTTTTTCACATGTGAAGTAATGTAAAAGTGAAATTTCATTGTAAAAATGACAAGATACTGATTAAAATTCTTAGAATAAATGTTAGAGAGTGTGGTTGTTATTAATGAATGAAAATTATTATTAACTATATGAAAATTAAATTAACTGTGCACTAAGCTTGTCTGCCATAAATTTAGACGTTAAAATTTGTAGTAAAAGGCAAAATTTTCTCTGAAAATCCAAACCATGATGCACTTTTGAAATCCAAACATGCAAGATATAGTATTCTTTAATAAAGAAATACTTTGATTCTTGCCTGACAATATTTTATGTGTATCATTAGGGCATGTGAAGCTTTTCTCCTCAAGGGATGTGTGAATGCCACATAGAGAGATGGATGTTAGAAATCAAGAAATGATCTTGTTTCCTCTGCTCTTCAGTTTCTAGGAAGGCCTACTCTCTGAAACAAGCGTTCCTTCCACACCTTAATTTGCATTCAAGGCACAAAATAATTAATTCTGGGGTCAGGATTCTCTGTCCTGTATTCAGTATTTCATTGACTTGCTCTTCTGTTCTAGACACATTTTAATCTGAAAACATTCCAGATAAGTCTGGACTAACACATTACATGCAATAAAATTGATTCTTGAGGGCAGTGTGCAGGATGGAATGACTTCATCTATTTAGAAGTTGTAGCGGACAGTAAATGGAATAGGTAGACAGTAGGAATAGAAAGCTACCAGGAAAGCCAAGTCTACATAGAGGCAAAGTTGGCAAAAATATTTAAGTAGTTTGCTAGGGTTACAGATAAAGTATACCACTATTAATTATCTTGTTTTTAAAAAAGCCACATCAAATAGCTATTTAGACAAATCTATGGCTTTGGTCTTTTATTTGAGTATTTGTTGTTTGGGGGTTTTTGCTCTTTTGTGGGGGTCCGCCACCCAGCTCCCAAGTAAATCACACACAGAAGCTTATTCTTTTTTTTTTTTTTTTTTTGGAAGCTGAGGATCGAACCCAGGGCCTTGCGCTTGCTAGGCAAGCGCTCTACCACTGAGCTAAATCCCCAACCCCAGAGGCTTATTCTTAATTATGAATACTCGACCTTAGCTTGGCTTAGTTTCTAGTCAGCTTTTCTTAACTTAATTTATTCCCATCTACCTTTTGCCTCTGGACTTTTCCCATTCTCTTACTTCTGTAAATCTTGCTCTTACTCTGTGGTTTGCTGTGTAGCTGGCTGGCTGACCCCTGGAGTCCTCCTCCTTCCCTGGCTGCTTGATCTTTCCCCATTTTCTCCTTCTATATGTACTATCTGCCTGCCAGCCCCACCTATCCTTTCTCCTGCCTTGCTATTTGCCAGTTCTTTATCAGACTATCAGGTGTTTTACACAGGCACAGTAACGCACCTTCAAAGTGTTAGACAAATGCAGCATAAACAAAAGTAACACACTTTAAAATAATATTCGCCAACAAGAATTAAATAAATGCCCAGAAAGTGTGCACATGAGAGCAATTGTCTCCATGTCAGGACCCTTCTCAGCTCTGTTCTGCATGGCTTTGTACAAATATCATTTTCTCTGCAGTCCCCACATTACAACCAGAAGAGGACTCTAAGAGACACCTAGGAAACTTAGCTTTTTCCTTTGGTTACACACTGAAGAACACAAGAAACTGCCCATTCTAACTTAGGGAATCTATTTTATATCCACAACATCTCTAATTAATGTCTTTAGCTGTACTTGAGCTGTAGGTGGATTGCTTCACAAACAAGTTTAGAACTTAGTCAATAAAGACAAAATATTCAGTGTATCTTAATGTATTTAATTCAATCAAACTTTAAGTATGAATAAACAGCAGTGCAAAATGTGCCTGGCTTTATTATTTTAAGCTTTTCTGATACTTTGTTACTTTAAAACAGAAATGTCATTTGGTAAATACAATGAATACTATCAATATGCTCTATCTTGTCTTTGTAGTCTCACATTTTCCTCTCTGGATGACCTTGATGTACTGCAAAGCAGATTGTTTATTAAAAACAAAAAACACAAAAAAACAAAGAAACAAAAAACCCCAGAAATTGTGGAAAACTTTGTGACTATTTTGTGTGCAAAATTTAAGGTCAATACCAAAATATTTTATATGATGGATCACAATTGCCATATCAGCACATATGCATTAATAAAAAATGACATGTTTTTGTATTCACTAAAAAATGAAGACCATTTAGTTGAAACCCACTAATATATTTCTATTTTAGCTCATGAGTTTGAAATTAAGTGCTTAATTTACATTTCCTGTTGTTGACAGTTTGCATATTTTTTTTCGTTTGTATTAATGGCAAACAGCAATCAAACACATCAAATGACAGTCTAAGAAAATGGCAAGCTTTTTGCTTATCATTTGTAATTAAATTTTCCTTGTACTCATAACTGAACTTTTGACAAACTTAATGTAGGCTCAAACAAAATCTGTTTAGACTCTGGGCCCTTAAATTCTTATTCTTCAAATGCTGATCAATATCAGACTTCATGAAATATTTGTCATTTTTCAAGGTTTAATGAATTATGTTTAATTACCATCTTTAAAATGCACTATTGCTTGAATCTTACCTTGGTTAGCTAAGAGGGAGTCCATATTTTCAGACCATGCCAGTGATTCCGTAGTTGGAGACCTGTAGAAACAGCATCTACCCTTGACAATAGCATTGTGATCTTTCTCTTTGGTAACTTACAGTAATACTAAAGCTGAAGATAGTATTTGAATTATATCATTAAAATGAGCCAATGATGAAACAGGAGAATGTCAGTAAAATTCATATCATATTTTTCTAATGTGTTAAAGTCATAGCAACATAATGTGGAATATAATTTGATATCAGAAAATTATTTATCTATCTAGCCAACAGTGTTTATATTTGTGAACAATGAAAGTAATGGCACAAGAGACATATTCATTCTGTGAAGCAACTATAAATTTTTCTGATCATAATATTAATTATGGGTCACTTTGTTTTGAAAAATTCTCTTGATTAAAACTAAAATGAATGAATGATTATTTTTAAGTTTTCATGGCATACGAATTTCCCTGTTTAATAATTGTATTTAGAAAGTGAAGAAAGGCTTTAAAAATTTCTAAAAATGATGATATAGAAAATGTTTGATTTTAGTATTTTGTTGTGTTTACCCTATTCTGAATCAGATTTTATTCTCCTTATGCTGGTAGATCAGTTCTGGACTGATTTATATAAATGTAGGAATCTATTCAGGGAGTATGATATATTTTTTCAAAGCAGTAAAATATTTATGGACTGAAGTTTTCTGAGGAAGGCATGCTTTGGGGGATATTATGTAAAATAATAAATCAGCTTTAAGATATAATCTTTGTGAGATATAAATATATCATGTATTATTTCTCTTAACAGATAAATATCTTGATGAAACCAGTCCCTATCCACAGGAAGCCATTCCTGGGCAAAGAGCTTGATTATGTAGTAGTGATGTACAAAAGGACAAGGGGCAAATTAATTTAAATCATATATTAAAACAATTGACAATAAAATAGAGATAGTCTCATATCTAGCTATCCTTATAAAATGTTGTATTGCATATCAAGATGATAATCCTAAATATGGTTTTGTGAAGTGCTTATTATTTCTTTATGGTCTTTTGTTCGTAATTTACTGAGGCTCTTATATGCCTTTTAAAGGATTGTCTATGTTCCCCCACTGTTTGAATATTTGTTGTATTTTCATATAATAATAAGAGGACTGAGGAAGAGAGGCTACTGGGTATTCATTTTTCTCTCTTAAATTATTGGCATCTTCTATCTCAAATTTCCTTTCTAAGTTATGTGCCGAAAACCTCAATCTTTCCTTTAACTTACTAATGAAGGCACAAGTTGTCTAGGAGACTTTTGCAATAGTGATCTCTAATTGAAATGGGTATTTAAAAAGATTTGCATTGTTTAGTTTTCATTGTTCATAAATTAAGTATTAGTCTTAATCCTAGATTTAATTTCACACTGAAGTGCATTTGAGCATTTACAACCTGTTACTTCACTAAGATTATGTTGAATCACATGACTCTCATACTAAGTTTTGTTGGAATTCTGAAAGTATCATAAAGGTCATTTAAAATGCACTTGTACAAAAACAGTCATTTGCAGACTGAAATGTGATGGTTGATGTAATATTTAAATGTTTAGAAATCCAGTACTGTGGAGTATATGGTAATACATAGGGCAGAGAGGAGCTGGGCCTTAAAGCGCATCCTTCTAAATGAGAAGTGGCCATCAGGTAAAACACAGAGAAACAGCGAATCCATTCCAGTACAGAAGTCTACTTCTCCGTTCCTATGTAGGTTCCTTAATAACAAGTGAAAGCTGTTATTTTCTAGCACCCAGAAGAGTGTGGCTAGGCTAAGAGATTACTGATCAAATCTCGATAAAGGCTGGTATAAGATCACCAATGGAAAGGAGATGTGACTTTCAGGATGCTGTGAGAATACAATGAAAAAACTTGTTCAAAAGTGTAGACAAATTGTTCAAGCTCCACATCCTACAGTGCTATGGGCAGAGGAATCAGAACCAGAGTGTGACAGTGTGCCTGGAGAACCACCGAACATTAGGACCTGACTGTCAACCCCGAGGGAAATGAGGGACAAAGGAACACAGCCTGTAGGTTGAGCCAGAATTTGATTAAGCTAAAGGCAAAAGTTGGGTCCCACGAAGACCCTTTTGGAAATGAAAGAGTCTGAGCATGGAGATGTTTTCAATAAGCAGAAGCCATTCCTATTGTTCGCATGATTGTGCATAAACAGGAAAAATGGATGGAAAAAAAAAAGTCCGGAAAGTAGTATGGAAGTAAGGACAAAACAAGAATGTTTTGAATTACAGAGATGTACTTAAGTACTCGTACTCTGTATTCTGTATATACACACATAGAATGTTAGACACCCTACAATTAGAGTTGCTGGAGTGTTCTACTATAAATTCTGGTCAAGAAATGTTGACTTTACTCTAAAGGGGTAAGGCGCTTTTCTGCTCTCTGAAGGGATACCCCAGTGGCTTGTGAAGATGCTGGGAATGCTTACTTTGCCAACCTATTCTCACCTAGAAGATACAGTTTTGAGTATTTATTATACTGAAAGGGATGGAAGTAGTGGAGTGCTTCCTTTTCAGAAATTAGGTTACAATGCATCTATTTTAATGATTAATCTTTCCTACCACTAAAAATTGTTAAATTTGGGTTTAAATTTGTAATCTTTGGGAGGACAAGTTTTGGTATTGAGAAACAAACTGAAAGCTAATATTTATCAGAACAATAAAATGTGCAACCGTACTTTGAATGTTTTTATGTTATTGCATTAAGCACGTTATATACCTTTCATCAGTTAACACTGACAATAATAGTGTATTGAATTCCGCTAATACCAATGACTAAAAGGGGTTATAAATGCTAGTAACTTGTACAATATCACAAATAGTAGTGGGTAGAGTTAATATTTAGACACAGATTTGTTTAGGACCCTAACTCTTTTAAAACTTCTTCCCCAAATGCATAAGTCAACATATATGTGCTCATTTTGGAGCACATGTAGTAGAATAGTTTTCCTGCAGTAGAATGTCACATACTTCTCCCAGACTTAAACAGTAGTTAAATTGTGGCAATTGATTACTCAATAGAAACCAAAAAAAAAAAAAAGAAAGTCTATGCAATACGTTATAAAACCTTGTAAATTATACAATAAATGTAGAAAAATTCTTAGGTTAGATGTGCATGAGAAATATAATTGTATATTTTATAAAATGCAGCTATAGAAATATCAGTAAAATCCATTAAATAAAAATTAGATTATAAGAAAATGGCAACTAATTTAAAACTGTACAGGCTTCATTGATTTCCTTTTTACTTGTATGCTATCTGAAATAAATGGACACTATGCCGTTCTCTCATTACTACTTTTCTCCTTTTCATTTTATATGTGTGTTGATTATATCCTTAATGGAGGTTATATGTGGCTCTTTTCCTGTGTGTGTGTGTGTGTGTGTGTGTGTGTGTGTGTGTGTGTGTGTGTGTGTGTGTATGAGAGAGAGAGAGAGAGAGAGAGAGAGAGAGAGAGAGAGAGAGAGAGAGAGAGAGAGAGAGAGAGAGAGAGAGAGAACTTCATAGAATTCTGGTGTATAAGCAGAGTAACTTTCCATGTGTGTATGGTTTGCCAGAAAATTCACTGTGTATCTGGAGCCAAAACTGCACTTAGTATTTCATGGGGTTTTGGCTGATTTCCTGTCTGTTTTCTTCATTAAGCAAGTGGCATCTAGGCCGGCAGTACCCATATTGTATGTCCAGAGAAGAGCCAGACCAGATGGGAACTGCGTGAAAGCTACCAGTTACCTTGCTAATTGTGCCAGCTAGAACCAGTTGTATTGCATTAAAAAATGTGGAATCCAACAACTTCGCTGTTCACACTCAATTAGCAGTGTGCTGGAGAATGGAAAATTCAAGCAAAGAGTTCATGTGCCCGAGGAAGTGACAGCTGCTTCCTTCCCCAGCACTTAATATCCATGTAAAAGTTTCTTAATAAGTACTGTGATAATGAATGATTTTTACAAAGATCATATACGTTTTATTTCTAACTCGCTATTTTAAAAACCTTGATGAAAAGAAAGATCAATGATCTGTCTACTTTCACATTCTTTATCTAGCAAACAGAACTTAGAACCAAAGCAAGTCACACATTGTTGACATATTTTAGAGAGAAAGAAAGAAAAAAGAATCAATAGAGAAAGGCAAAAAAAATTAGGATGAAAGGCAACAATTAACATTTTTATCATGAATGAAGGTAGCAAGTCATAGAGACTACTGAAGACTCAGGTGCTTCATTTATACATCTTCTGAGAGAAAAAGAGCTTTAAACAGCAACTCACTTCACTGGCATTTTGCGTCCCACTGTCTGCCTGTCACAGATGATGCAGTTTCTCTTTCTGACTGATCTTCAAGCTGAAGGTAACATGACAGCAGGAACATTACAATTAGTATGCAAATACCTGTCTCTGGGTTACAAGTTGGCATTTTTTAAGTCATGCTAGTCTCAGCTTTTATCATTTTGTTAAGATTTCTTCTGGTCAAAACATTTTAACTTCCAAGGAACAAATAATTCTTTGAATAAATGTGACATTTCTCTGAGTCAGGCATAAAATATAACTATCCCATTAGAATAATAATTCTGCTAGTTTACTTGCTAATTTTCATATGCATTCATTGCTATGACAACTAGTATTCTCAAGATGTTCAATATTATAATATTATAACATGCACTTAATAATCACCTTTATTATGTTTAAAGATCATTCATTTCCCTTCATTATTTGATTTTGCGAGGCAGGCTGTATCTTTTAGCACACGTAAACAGCCACTTAAATTAAAAAATTTTACTGGTATATAAAAATGTTCTAGCAAATGCCTTATACTGTTACCCTCAACTTGTTCAGCTGCTCATAGCTTAATAACATGATTATCTCTAATATTTTAAACTATGAATCTTATATAATGTATGCCCATATATCTTAATTCAACACTGATGCTTAAAATAATAATGCCAATATATTTATCAAAATAAAGTGTATATGCCGATGCTTTAGTAAACGGTGTTTGGTAACCCTATGTATGCTTTGTCAAGCTTTGATCGTAACAGTAGTATAGATAGGCTTCCTTTTAACTTGGAGTTGGAACATCCCCATTTGTTTGCTCTACAAAAATTCCCACTCCGTGAATGGCCCTGGAGTATTGAGACAAATGGAAATAAAAGCAATGACCTAAACAATCAGGGTGTCATTAAGCAGTGAAATCATCAATTAACTCAATTCATTTTGTTAGTTCAAGCACCATTAAGTAATGTTTTCATAATATGCAAAAACTGAATCATTAAACATGTTTTGGCTTTTGTTTTGCTGATTGGGGATAATACAACACTGAGTTTATAATGTATGTTTGAAGTTATTTTCAAAATACATTATATTAGAAAATAAGTTTAAAATTTAGATGTTTTCTTGGTAAAGTCAGTCAAAATATATAAGAAATAGGAGGCAGAAATAAGATTATTTTTTCACTGAAACTCCAAGACAAAATTAAAATTCATGCTTAGAGTTCAATGAAATTATTTCTTTTCTCATAAATCCTTCTAGAAATAGTAATCATAATTTGTTTATTTATGACTTCCTATTCCCTTTAAAAAGCTCAGTTCATTATTCGGGAATTTTTTTTTTTTTTTGGTTTGTTTTTGTTTGCAAGACAGAGTCTCTCTGTGCAGCCTTGGCTGGCCTGGAATTTGCTCTGCGGACCAGGCATCCTACTACCTAGCTAATATGAATATGTTATTTTACATAGCAAAGGGACCCAGTGTAATTATCTGGGGCCATTTCAGAGGAATGGTAGGAGGGATTGAGTGTGTAGGAGGATGTGTGTGAATGGAACATAAGACTAATGCACTAAGAGAAGTATCCAAGAGTGAAGAAATTCAAATGGCCACTAGACTTGAACAAAGGGTTAGGAACACATGCTCTCCTCAGAGAATCTAGGAGTCAGTCTATCCTACTAATATTTTGATTTAACCCAACAGGTCTAACTTTGGCCTATGATTCCCAGGACTTGACACTTACATATTTGGGTTATTTTAAACCATGAAGTGTACAGTTGGTTCTCATAGCACCAGTAGGCATTTGTTATAGCCTGGGAACTCCACTCCTTAAAGTCCTTAAAAGAAGATTCGCATATAATAAAATGAGTATAAATTTAGAGTGTAGACCAGTGAGTTTATGGATAAATGTGAGTTTTGAAAGTTTGACACACTAATTTTGACCTCTTTGCGTCTCATTTTGGTGAAATCAAATAATATCTACCTCACAAGATTTTGTTAGGAGAGTAATGAGAGATATGCTAAGTCAGTATGTTTGGTTGTTACTATAGATGTGTGATTGTTTTTTTTCTTTTCCCTAAATTTAACGTTCACAGAATCATTTTTGAGATGATAGAGAAAAGGAGATTTTGGGAATAGTCCGCCACACTGAAATTACTAGATGCTTCTGTGTGGAGAAAGGAAATAAATCGTACAAATTCTTATTGTGTTTAGCACTCTAAGTGTCTTGGAGATACTGGATTCTATATGATGAGTTTGAAGTTGATAATTTTGGAAATTAACATGGTTAAGGTATATGTGGAATAAATGGGAAGAATACAAAGGTCAATATAAGCAAATGTAAGTGAACATTATCTGTAAGTATACAGGCTTATCGATCAATTAAAATAATTTAAAAAGTCAGAAGAAATCAACAGAATCAGAGTTTTGTGTTTTGGCTTAGGATTTAAACAAGACTAACTATACTCATACATCCCATGTTTATGCTTCAAAATGGCATGGTTTGGAGAACTGAACTCCATTTAATTGCTTACTTTAATAAGCAGCATAGTTCTTTCTTCTTAAAATTTGAACAAAAGTGTGAAAGTAAAAAAGTCTCGTGCAGGGACTCATGGATAAAAGGACAAGGTTGGCAGGTCTGAAGGATGGGAAGGGAAAGAGTCATGAGTCTAATACAATGGGAGGGGTCAAAGGAACGGATTCTACTCCTTGTAGCCTGGGAAAATGGGGCTCTCACTCATGATTGTGATGAAGGCAAAACATGTTTAGGAAAGTAAATGTATGGAGAGAAGTTTAGAGATACATAGAATGTTTATGAATGTTTGATTAATTTTCCTACCAAATGTTGCAGCACTTTCACAGGCTACTCAGAGGTAACAAAATGATTTTTAAATTTACAAGAAACTTCCTATTAAACAGATATATTATTCCATTTGTTCCTCATTTTTTTCCAGGAGAAAAAAGTTAATAAAAATATTAATTCTGGCTTGTGTAGTATCGTTTCAATGGGAAATTATCCTTTAAACCTGATGCATCTGCTAGAAAAAAATATTCTTAGTTTTAAAACTATTTCTGAACTAGATGAATGGCATTCAGGGGAGAATGTCATGAGTGACTTGGGGAGGGGAAAATCTCAATAGCTAAAACAATGGAAGTTTTAAACTAATTCAGAGCTAAAGTATTTTGTGCATATATGCATCAGAAACTAGGCATTATCTGCTTGATCATTATTCTATGATCCAGGCAACATTTCAAAGTTCATTTTATATATTAGCAAACCAAGACTCTTCAAGGACAACAACTAAAGGTTTTGTAGACAATAGTGTGGGTGGAACAAGTTTAACCATGCAAGTTGATAGCACAGTGATGCTGACAGTGGCACCACTTGGCTTTGTTGTAGTTTTATAATCTCATAGTCTCCTAATATCTGCTATTAATTGAACTCAAATTTGAAATTTTCCTTAATATTGTTGAATACTCTACACACACACACACACACACACACACACACACACACACACACACACAGTCGTTTAATTGACTTCCTCTCATCCACTTTTCAAATATCTACATTGCCATTTTATGTATGCAGCATCTGTTTAACTCTTCTCTTGAGGTAACTTTCCCTTTCTTTAAACTCTCTGGTAAAGAGCTTAATATTCAATGCAAAACTATGCAAAGCAAGGTAATAGTCCTGGGAAATATTCACAAAGCTAAATAATATAATATTAAAAGAAGTTTGTAATTAGACTGTGTACATCCTTGGCCAAACTGACTATGTTAACTTTCTTGTGGTTCAACTTTTTGCAATGAAATTTTGATAAACTGAAAAGAGCAACTCTCCGTAAACTATTAATAATACATTTAATAGTGTATAATAATTAGAAGAAGCTGATTAGATTCTCTTTATATTTTGAAGTTTCAGTCTCCAACATTAAAGGAATAGACACAGATTAAAATGCACACAAATAGAAGGACACACACACATATGCACACACACACACAGAGGATTACATCCCAATATACTTAAAGCACTGAATATGGCCTGTTTTACTACTTTATAAGATAATGACTCTGATTTTTTATTACATAATTTAGAACAAAATAATATGCCATGGCATAAATTATAGCTTATTTTATTTTCTTACTGCAATCAAACATTTTCCTATCCTATGTACTAGTTTTGACCCTAATGAAAAATGAATGATCCAAAAATTCTTTCTCAGCCAATTTCAGCCAATTATCATTTTCCAACAATACATTAGATTATTTTCACATATTTTGTTCATGACCAGTTATCTCCCTTTATACAATAACTTTGATTTCACCTTTTATCTTTTAAAATTGTATATAAAATTAAATTTTCTAGAGTAGCAAAGGCAATAAGGACTATTCAGTCTGTTGTAAAGTACTGATTAAATACCTGGCATGCTGCTTCGGGATCCTCAATCATGTAACTTTTTTGACAGGCTAAATGGGTTTCTCTTAATTTGTAGATTATTGCTGAAGGAACTCCCTTTTCAGCATTATGAAGAAGGCAGGAAGTCCTCAAATAAGTGCCCTGCCGGGAATCCGACAGCAGTGAGTCTCCCACTGAATCTATCATCTGCTGACGAGTGGGCCTTTTAATCTTCTGATTAGTGGTGCTTAGGCCTGACTTATAGACTGGCTACAGGAAATTCAGAAATGTCATACATGCATTAATTTTCAATCAATTGGTTTTTAGGAAATATGCTCCTCGGGAAAGGATAGTGTACAATTTGTTACCCTAGATACTATTATAATGATATGGTTTCCTGAATAATCACTAAACAATAAATTCACTGGTTTCCGATTGCTTACTGACTGTGCCCAAAATTCTTAGTGCAATGTTTTGTAAATTATTTCTGTAAAAATATAGATTTTTTGTTTGTTCCTCTCATCCATATTGATTTTTCTGTTATTTTCTAAAAAGTGTGTTTAATGTATAACTATTAATTTATATTTTGTGGTGCAAGGGTCAAACCCTGGACTGTACAGAAGCC